ACCCCCTCCCCCTCTCCGCCACCACCACCCCATCCCTTACAACGCGCGTCTATCTGTGCCCATCTGCTTGCAAGGGAAGAGGATAGGATAAAAGATCGGAACTCTCGTTTTCTACATACGAATGCTTCCTAAATATTTATTTCCCCGAGTATTTTCGTTTGATTTGTGGGGCGAGATGGATCGCCACGATCAAACGGAAATATCAAATGTAATATGAACTTATTTGTTGAGCTGTGATTGAAATAGCAAACGCTCTCTTTTTTCTTCTTCTTCCTCCACGCATCGATCGCGTCGAGGAATTGCATTTCCTTCTTGGGCTACATGGCTCACGGTCGAGAAAATAAACAGACTCTCTGTTAGACTGACAAATCGTTTTGAAAGCTGCTGCGCCGTATGGAAAAATGGGCTCGGCGTTGGTGAGTACGGTTCCCTCAACACTGCCCTAGAGCTTTTTGTGACGTCGGAAAGTTCATATTTCGTTGGCGAGACCCAATGTATCGAGACATCGACTATTCTTCTATTTGTCTCTAATATCCCTCCCAATTCGTCATTCATCGTTAATTATTATTCAATCATTAATTAAGCATTTTTATTATTATGAAGGGCTTAAGGGATTTTGCAAACATCGCAAACAATTCAACAGCTATTCCATCACATCTAAACAGCAAACTTCCTTTGCTCACCTCTCCCTCTCCCATTACATCATCGACATCGCGATAAAAAAACACGCTTCAAGTGCTTTTGATTTAATGGCTTCTCGAATTTTTGCAAAACTCCCGTCCCAAGATCCTCGCGCACGCACAACGAACAAACTCGGTTCAATTCCTTCCAATATGTTTGGATAATTGAGTGATCGAGGCCGTGAATCGAACGAGAGTGTTATCGATCCCCCGTGTCTACGTTCGATTGGCGCAGTTTGCATCTTCCATACAATACGGACGGAGACGCACGAGCGCGGCAACGGCGTTCGACTTTCGGCATTCGTCAGTCCAGGAGTCGGGTGCCAAGCCGGGCGACACAAATGTCGGCTTCCTTGGCCCCGTGACGACAGCTCGCGAGCTTTTGTCGCGGCGGCAGCACTTTTTCACTCCCCTCGGGGCTGCTCGCTCGTGCATCGCTATCGCAATTGCCGTCTCCTCGCGATTTTTCGCTAGCCTTCCTCCATTCGTCCCCCTTCGCCCCTCCCACCAGACCAATCCCATCCCATAGCGTACCGCTCTTTGTTTTGTTTTATATTGCGAGCTGAGTTGCACGTGAGCGGCATCGGAATATAACCGCCGCCGCGTCAGCAGAATTTCCCATCGCTCGGAGTTTTTTCGAGATTGGCTCCTTCGCGCGAGCACGGATCTCTGTATGCGCGGACTCCTGACGCGTTTACCAACACCTTCGAGTCACTGCATACACGTAGGGCTGCATGGGGGCCCCAGTCGTCCCTTAACGTCCGCCTACACTTGGACGCGCCGGCTGAAGATAATGGCTCGGCAATTATACGACGACTTTGACGATATTTAACGGTGCGCCTCTAGCGAGATTTATTTCACGGCCGCGTATTGATTTTTGCGGCTTCGCGACCTGTCCGCGTGCAACGTACGAATTTGCCAGTTGGAATTAACCTTGTGATTACATTAATTTTCATCGGCGCGGCTTCTGCCTATTATGGATGATGGGTGCCCTTTTCCGAGGTCGGGCATGGAAAAGGTTCTTTAATTGGCAAACGTTCTTCGTCGACAGGTACTTTCGCCCACCGGCTAATAAATAATTTATAAAAGTTTTATCAAGGAGTTGGAGTAATGCAACTTGGCTTGCATTTTCGTATTTTTGGAGTACTTTTATAAAATTACTCAGCACACCTCTAAATGTGTACTTTCTGCCTTCCATTTACTAAGCGACTTCTAGGTATTTTTTGTTTGTTTATTTTTGTTTTTGTTTGTTTTGTTGTTGTTTTTTTTTTGTTTTTACTTTTTTACCAAGTATCTTTTAAATGCACTCTTTTTAGTGTATTTAAGCTCATTTATGCTCATACGGGCAAAAATGAGTAAAAGACTGACAATTGAAGGCTTTCCTTTGTGAGCTAATTACCCTATATTATGGATACTTAAAGCATACTTTTAATTTAAGGTAAAACATCTAAATTACGAGAATTCCTTGTTTGTTACAAAGAAATTTGTTTAAACGGCCTTTTTTTTCTTTTCTTTTTCATTACGTTTCTTAAAAATACGCTAGATATTTAAAATTTATTGACTGGAAAAATCGTTTTTACATATTAGAGGCATAAATAAAATAAAAAATAAAGTACAAATTATTTGGTAAAAAGATTTTTTTTTCATTTATCTTTTCATAACTTTATCCATCAAATGATTAAGATTGCAGTTTTAAGGCTAGATAATAGCGCTGCTGAGATTTTCAAAAGATCGTAAAAGCGCTATAACTGTAGATTCCGTTATACTCTCGGGAAAACATAGAATCTCTATTATTATCAAGGAATATAAAAGAAGGATGAATACAAAAATCAATGTTTTTAACTGATAAGATAATTATATGAAAATTTGATAAGGCATTTTTATTGCTCTTAGTACATAAAAGTTCATGTAACATAACTATCTTGACATATTGATATAGCAATAAATTTATTTTAAAAGATATTCGAGTAAAACATTTTCAATTTGAAAAATTAATTGTTTTCTTACTCACCGTGGCATGGCATTGAATAATATTACTTTTCAATAAAGAATTATTTAAATATTGAATTACAGAATAGGATTAACGGGTTTCCTTAAAAATGTACGCGTCACTTTTATTCCGTTAATTTTATGAGTCAGAATCAATCAAGTGGCATACTTGACTATAGAAATTGGAACAAACAGGCGAATTGTCTTATTCGCCAATTTGATTCGCATAATTTTTTATTGCTTTTGTTTTTGTTTTTTTACCCTCTTATCAAAATAATTAGAGAGAAAAAGAATGAACACATATAAGCATTATTGAAATATATATATATATATATAAATAAATGTTTTTTTAATCGATTAAAGAAAACGTTTAATAAAGTAATAGGCTTATGTAGGGGAGGCATATTTAATTGCAATATTAATAAAAATCTGATATGAAAGGGTCGGCTACGATAGAAATTTAATATACGCGTGGCTTTGAGTATAAGAGGGAGACAGGTAGTGTTGGTGGACCGGAATCCCGGTACAGATATGAGAATCAGTGACGGTGTAAGCGTGTGAGTCGGCAGCACTCAGGATTTCGCTGCGTAGCGAATTGTTGATAGCGGCCGCGAATAACGAATCGAATGCAATAAGTAAAAATGCCTCTATTTGATTTCAGTACTTATTACATTACGTTATATTTGCGCTCGTTGCCTTCTATCATTTAGAATTTTATTTTGTCCCCGGGTTACATATCTATCCATTTGAATTAAATGTTTGCCTTTCCATAAAAGGCCCGCCCATTCATTGTTCAATATATATGTAGATAAGCTCCTGAAATCTTACTTTATTTCCCTTATTTTTGCGGATAAACAAATATCTGTATATTTATACCTAACGCTATTTCAGTATTTTATAAATACGGTTATTAAGTTATATTTATCGAGGGTACGGCAATAATTAGAGGGCGTATTGTATTCATTGGAATCGTAGGCATTTGATCAAGATTATTATCCAGCTGGTGCTACGCTCGGCTAGGGAGAGAGAGAGAGAGAGAGAGAGAGAGAGAGAGAGAAACGAAACTATGCAATCACGTAGCTAGATAGGCGGGAGAAAAGCATTGTTAAAGGTCTTTGCTTATCCTGACTGAATGTTTACATCTAGGCATTGTCATTGTCGCGATCCGTGAATGTGAAATGCGAAAAATCCTGTCAAATGCTCGAGTATGGCCCATTGGAAGTAACCATGTCCCAATTAAGTCATCAGCCATCCGCGGCTAATGGCTCCCATGGACCCGTGGCACAATCCGTGTAAGCCTAACGACTCGTTTCTCTGCTTTCAGAGTGCACCGAGCGAATGGCAGTGATAGGGTCGAGGTCGCACTAGTGCAGAGCGAGGATCTCAGGAGTTGGTCCCGCGGTGGCCATGAGGCAGGTGGTTGTCCTCGAGCCCGCCGGCGGCGTTCTCGTAATCCGGCAGCATCCGCTCGGCACCTCGGCCATCCCCGGCAATGCCCTTGAGACCGTTGTCGGTCAGCATCAGCAGCAGCAGCAGCAGCAGCAGCAGCAGCAGCAGCAGCAGCAGCAGCAGCAGCAGCAGCAGCAGCAGCAGCAGCAGCAGCAGCAGCAGCAGCAGCAGCAGCAGCAGCAGCAGCAGCAGCAGCAGCAGCAGCAGCAGCAGCAGCAGCAGCAGCAGCAGCAGCAGCAGCAGCAGCAGCAGCAGCAGCAGCAGCAGCAGCAGCAGCAGCAGCAGCAGCAGCAGCAGCAGCAGCAGCAGCAGCAGCAGCAGCAGCAGCAGCAGCAGCAGCAGCAGCAGCAGCAGCAGCAGCAGCAGCAGCAGCAGCAGCAGCAGCAGCAGCAGCAGCAGCAGCAGCAGCAGCAGCAGCAGCAGCAGCAGCAGCAGCAGCAGCAGCAGCAGCAGCAGCAGCAGCAGCAGCAGCAGCAGCAGCAGCAGCAGCAGCAGCAGCAGCAGCAGCAGCAGCAGCAGCAGCAGCAGCAGCAGCAGCAGCAGCAGCAGCAGCAGCAGCAGCAGCAGCAGCAGCAGCAGCAGCAGCAGCAGCAGCAGCAGCAGCAGCAGCAGCGGCAGCAGCAACAGCAGCAGCAGCGGGTCAACCAGGCCGCCGACCACAATCAGAACAGGATCGTCGTTGTGCGTTCGTCGGTACGTGTTCCTGGGCGGTGGTTCCGATGGGAGATTGCACCGTGTCCGTAGCATAGTACATGGGACCTTTGCGGTCGAACACGGGTGATCCTTGGACTTTGAAGGGGTCGCGAGGTCGGCTGGGGACATCGACGGTTTGGCGAGCTATCGTGGGTGGGGGTGGGATTGAGGATGGGGGACAAGCTTTGACGTATGGATCGTATGTGGATTCGACAATGTTGTGCTCGCTTTTTTCTTTTCCGGACGTATATCACACGAGCTTTGGATCTCGCGTCCTGCATAGCTGGAAGTTTGGAAATTTATACGCGGGGGCCAGGGTTCGTAGGCACTTGGCGCTTGGAATTATTCCAACTTTCTCGTGTGTTAGGCACTTTTAGTGGAAAAAAATCATTAGCAAATTGTAAGCCCGAGCTATATCATATTAAAAAAAATCTACTCGTATAGCGTCTGCGTGGGCTTCATTAAAAGTCAACTTTTTAAATTTAGCGATGTCTTATTGTTAATAAAACGACCACGTGACTTTTCTGGAGTATATCGTTATACGTTATAATCCAATGATAATTACAAATATATTATGGATTTTGTAGAAATTGTTATGAGACACTTTATCGTTGTGAGCGCAAATTGTCTCTTCTTTCTTCACTTTAAATGCCTGATTGTCCTACGTGTCGCTACATTAGAAGTATCAAATCGTATGAAATTTTAATTAGCAGTACAACGCGAGAGTTCGAAATCTGTTTTATACAATTCGACACTTATAGTTCAATTAATAAATCCGTTATGACAGATATTAACTTATAACACCTCGAATCTTCTACCAATTCCTTAATTTTAAGGCTACTTATGTAATTTGATAGTTGCAATACTTGTAAATCCAAGGACAATGCAAATTTAATAATGCAAATTAATTATACGTGTTATAGCAGCACCTCATTAGTTACAAAGTCTCCGGCAGGATAATCGTGAAAAGCATGCTCTCTCTCCCCCTTTACCCCACCGATTTTTCACCTCTATTTACGAACTAAAGCCCCATGATAATCCCATTAGACGGGATAATTAAAAAGAATGTCTACGTGACGAGATCAATGCCGGCTGACCTGTGACGCGTACGCGCCGCGGCATAATTCACTTGTCTGCCGACTAATGAGCGGCCCTTGCGCCACTACGCGCGCTCGCGTAATTGCGTTATGTGACTTCCTTCATGTAAAATTCGTAGGCGGCGACGTCGGCGGAGGGCAGCCCCAACGCCCGCGGCATCGGCCTCAATGGAAATGTCGTGGCCGCCGCCACACCGACCCCCAGCCCCCCGTCCGGGACCACGGGAGCGAAACATCTGCGACCTGGAGTCAACGAAGCTAAGCGCGAGGAGGCTGTCGATCGGCTAAACCGGCTCAACAAGGACGACTGCGAGCTCAAAACGGAGCTCCTTAGCACCGACGCCTTGCTCACTGGTTAGTTATATTTCTTTTTTTTTCTCTATTCTTGTCCAGCTGACTGCCCTGCTACTGACATTTTTATACTTTAATGGAAAAAAGGAGTTTTTCCATGACCCGTGTGCTACTGATTTCCCTTTTTTATTTATTATTTTTTTTTATTTTTTAACAACACGAGACAGCAATTTTATGTTCAAGCTGCACTCCATTATATGATTGTGTCTGATGTAAATAGAAAGTGAAATCAATTTTGCATTTTGCATTGTTAAATATTTCGAAATTCTGTTAGATAGAATCCCTGTTGGCACAATTTTCAGTATTTAAAACAGTGCTCCTTTAAATGTACTTTAATTCTTACATTGTCTAAATCGAAGGACTCTGTTTGAAAAATATTGTTTCTTTAATGAAGTTTGTTAAGCTCTTACAATTCGGTGTAATAAGCACTTTCATATTATAATCTGTAAATTCAATTCTAAGAATATCACCAGCTTTTCGGCCAATTTTATTTTGCATCAAATATAATGTAAGCAATATTTACTAAAGGAGAAATAACATAAATAATTAATAGTATATTATTTAAGCATATGACTGAGAATACAATTTACAGTTTAAGAAAGAGAATATTTTTATCTTATAATGAATTATGAATTTAAATGCTGCATATATATATATATATATATATATATGTGTATTACCAATTACTTAGTTTAGTCAATCCAATAATTTTGAGCAATTGATTCACATTAATGAATTTATATTCGAATATCGTTTATGTACTTAACTTTCGCCATTAATTAAAAGAAGATTGATTAAAGTTGAAGATACATATATGCACACACACACACACACACACACACACACACACACACACACACACACACACACACACACACACACACACACACACACAAATTAACGCAGATGCACATATATATACTAGTACATAAAATAACCCAATTCGCAAAGATGATTTATATAGATGCTGTGCTTTTATTAGTTTTTTTAATTTCCCAAGAGATTATTTTTAATACATAAATTTATTATAGGTGAAAAAGTATTGTAAGGGTAGCATTAGATTGTTACGATGTTTTGTAATTTCATTTGTATGAATTTAAGAGTTTACAGGGTAAATGATTTGTATGCTGACTGTTTCTACGTTCTCTGAACTTTAATATTTTCAATATTTACATATAAGTAAAACTGAAATAAATTTTTTGATAAATTTTTTGATGCGAAAAATGTATTTATGCAATTATAACTATACAATAATTTATTTTAAATATTTTTCAAAAGTAAAAGAAAAAAAAGCCATTAATTAGCAATTTCTAATGTTAATAAGTATTGTAATTTGTCTGTAAAAAATTATTTCACAATTTAAAAATAATTAAGAACAAAATTACGCTTAATGGGTGGGGAAATGTACATTGCAATTAAATTTGAAGTTTGATACATGGAAAATAAAGCGCAAGATATATTTTTATTATTATGATGTGACCTCGATATGATACTTTTAGTTGTACTTTGGTAAATCACAAATAATAGATAACGATTTTGAAAATCAGTGATTTTTAAATGTTAAAATAGTTCTGAATGCTCTAACTTTTTAATAAATTTAACAGTCATATTGTATTTTGCTATGCATTTACATAATTGGTGATTCCAAAATATGTGTAATATCTACAATATACAATTATTTTTATAAAATCAAATTTATATTGGATTTTATAATTTCTAGCAAATTTTTTATCATTGAAATTTTTAAAATATTTTGTATATTTAAGTTATGTTGTAATATGATTTTTAATAATAGATAAAGATTTTTTGACATTCACAATTCGAAAAAATTTCGTGTAATACGCATACATGTATAGAGAACTTTATAAAATGTATTATTATATATATAAAGTTATACCAATAATAATATTTTAATGATGCAATATATATTCAATTTAAGCAAAAAGGAGGTGGAAATACGAATTATTTAAATAAATTTGTTTCATTGAAACTGTACGAATAAATAAATATTAATATTAATAAAAAAAAGAATTAAATAATAATAAAATAGCCGTTATGGTATAAGTTTATTATTTATAAAAGGTTGTTTATATTTTTAACGAATATATATGTAATAGAATATAGATATATGGTTAGAAGAAAATATGTAATGAATAAATTCGACATGAAATAATCATTGCTAAAACAAGCAGATTATTATTTCATGTTTCATAATTTTTCTTTAGACTCACTACATTCTATCCTGTTTATCATTATTACAATACAACGAATGACTCATTTCATTTATTGAAAGTGTAATATTTTTATTCCTGTTGTATATTTTATAATTTCGATGTATTTTATAATTTAAAATTTTTTATTTTTCAATATTAATAATATTTTATAATTCTCGGATATACATCATTAAAAAATGTATTAAAACATTTCCTTTACTAATGAATAAATCAAAATATAGGTTACTTTTCGAAAAGGAAATTTGAATAATTTTATATGAACCATTTTTTTTTTTTTTTTTTTTTCTTTAAATCAACTTAATTCCTTTGTGAAGTCTATAAACTATAGGATGTTCATTTTGACGTTAAAGCATTGAAGAGATTATAATATCTGAAAACTACTTAGTATAAAGAAAAGTAAATATAGAATAAATTTAAATATTATCATATAATCCTAAGATAAATCAAGTATTTTACTACCGAAAATCGGGGTAAAGTGGTTCATGTAAGAAGAAGTAGCTGACCCGAAAAATTTATACTTAAAAATTCGATATCATGTGCTGTAGTCATCAAAAATAAAAAAAAAAGGACGTTTCATTTCTCATGGATATTAAACTAACTTTTTAGGACTATTTTGTACATATTTATTACGAGGTTTAAATGACACTACAATTTACATATAAGAGTTGTACATGCATTCTTTATTTACATTCCCTAAGTAATTTGGGCTTAGTTTTCATGGTATAAGTTAGTCAAATTTACGCATATGTTCGAAATTTATTATATAATTTGCTGTAATTGGAAGTGCAGTATTTTTTATTGTTACGTCAAAGATACATTTTTACTTAAAGTATAAAGATTTTAGAGTGAATCAAATTATGGTGTTACGCTATATATAAAGATAGGCTATGTAGGTGTATAAGAATATATATAATTAAATGTATGAGAAAAAAGCGAAACATTATTTAGTATTTAAACAGTATTTGCAATTAATAGCAAGGAAACCGCATTATCTAGTCATATAATCAATTTTAGATTTCAATTTTTCATTAAATTTCTTCGACATTTGAAACACATTGCTGTTACACTGAAAATTTATCGGGAATTGTTACAGTGAGATTGAATATTTTTATGTTAACATTTATGCATGTATTTATTTACTTAAGCATTTGTTTGAAAATATGCAAAGTATTACAGAAGTTTAAATCGAATGTATGAATTATTTTGGAAAACAGATATGGAAAACAGTAAAAAGTTAATTTTATTACTCCCTTAGTGCTCAATACATGTAAAATCAATGAAAATTATGCATCGAGACTTTAAGATAAACGTTGATTTTTTCATAAATAAGTATGTTTTAAAATAAAACAATGAATCAATTGTCTTTACATAATATGGGTGCAATTGAATTCGTTATAAATATATAAAAAAAAAAAAGAAAAAGTAACGGCTGTAAGAGAGGTAGAATGAATAAAAGGGTTATGCCTGTATATTTTGAGTATTAAAATTTAATTTCATGCCGTTAAAAATATAATAATGTGGCCCTATTTATACTTGTTTATTGTACTTTTATTAAAAATATAATAATAAAATAATAGTAGTATTTAGTTTATTTTCTAATGTCATTTGCTAACAATTACGATGTAAAATAAATTCAGAAAATTATTTAAGGTATTAATAATAAAAATTGAAAACATATTATTTTATGAAATTTTTTTTTTTTAATATTTTGCATAATATATTCCCTGTCAAGTAAATTTTTTGTATAAGACGACAATTTTAATCTTATAAAATTGAATTTTCATAAACAGTTTTGTAATAAAATGTCAACAGTTTAAAGTAGAAAATGTTTATTTGCTTTTCAAAAATATTCAATTGGACAAGCTTCGACTTTTCACAATGACGCACTACACACATTTTATGCTGTTTCCGCGAATAATCTCAAAGAGTTTTTATATAGTCTACCTTACGTATACAATCATTCCTCTGGCCTTTATCCTGCCATTTTATTTGTGTTATATAATATATATATATTTTTTTTTTAATGTTTTTTCTTTGATCATAAATATTTCTGTAACGTAATTGCAATTGCTTTTATAATGTAATGCGTAATAATAAATTTATAGATACTTTTTTTTGTTCGAACGAAATCAGCTGCTGTAATACACAATGGAAATCAAATTAGCTTGATAAAAATCACTTGAAATGTTTCAAAATTTTTCAAAAAATGTTCTCCATTTCTTATCGTAATGGCCTTCCATTATCACATAAATATTCAAACGTATAATTTATATAAATTCATAAGTATATTTGACAATAGACGAAGATCGATAAATATTTGCTCATCTCTCCTTTAATTGCAATTCTCTTATACAACTATGCTCATGAACAAAAGGGCGTTTCACTTAGTGCAACAAAATATTCAAGTGAACCCAGTTTCGGAGGGCAAATTTATCGACTCTTTGTAACGGTGGGCGTGTGAAAACACGGAGGAATGCTGGAATCTCGAATAATCAGCCCTCATAAAATTATCCGATTCAAAAGTCGCATAATGGTGGGCTGGGATGTGAGAGGGTGGATGGGGTGGGTGGGTTGGAGGGGGCGTGCTTCGCCCTCGCGAGTAATCGATTTCTAACGAGACCGCAATCCACTCCAATTTCGAATGGTCGCGATTGCGAGGCGTCGGCGGTGCCGAAGCCGTTCTCGGTCAATGCAAACGTCAAACCAAAATATAAAGGTGCGACTGATTCCAGTGGCGAGTAAAATAAACGGGATATAAAAGGTCACGTG